AGAGCGAGAAGAGAAGGGGTCCAAGGATCGAGCCCTGTGGGACCCCGCAGGAAAGAGGGACCGAAGTGGACAGACTTTCACCAACCTTGACACAAAAAGTCCTGTCAGAGAGGTAAGAACGGAACCAGTCTAAAGCAGTCCAGGCAGGATGGAGTGGATGGAGAAAAGTTTTTAGGAGTGATTCGTGACAAAATGGTGTCAGCAAAGGTCAAAGGAAAAGTTTATAAGACAGTGGTGAGACCAGCTATGTTGTATATTCTGGACAGTGGCATGGACAAAAAGACAGGAGAAAGAACTGGAAGTGGCAGAAATGAAGATGTTGAGGTTCTGCTTAGGAGTGACAAGGATGGATAAGATTAGGAATGAGATCATCAGAGATACAGCACAGGTTGAACAACTGGGAGATAAAGTTAGAGACTGAGATGGTTTGGACATGTCCAGAGGAGGGACAGTGGGTATATTGGTAGAAAGACGATAGAAATGCAGCTGCCAGGAAAAATACAAAGAGGAGATATATGGATGCAGTTAGAGAGGACATGGTTGGAGTGAGATGGAGGAGGATGACTCACTGTGGTGACCCCTGAAGAGGGAAAAGCTGAAAGAAGAATATGATGTTCAGTCAAATTGATCTATAAAGCACATTTTAAAACAGCAGCTGTTAGCAAAGTACTTCAAGTGAAAGAAGAAGTAAATGCACTGTACTTATCTAGCGCCTTTCTGTCTAACCAAGATACTCAAAGTGCTTTACAGCACATCGACGAAGAGGAGGGAAGGGTTCCAGGAGACAGAGGGAGAAGAAGAGGGAAGTCAAGAGACTAGGACTTGGGTTCTTTTCCATTCCTTCACGTTCTTCTCCTGAACGCCATGTTCTCCTAACCTTCACATTTTTCTCCTGAAAGTCGTGTTCTCCTCCTAACCTTCATGTTCTTCTCCTGAGCATTATGTTCTCCTCCTACCCTTAATGTTCTCCAATAAACTTTCATGTTCTCTTCCTAATCTACAAAGTACATTTCCCCGCCCTTACCTTCATATTTTTCTCCTCTTACTTTTTCATTTCACGAGCTTCATCTTCTTCCAATCTTCATGTTTTCCCAGTGCCTCCATGGTTTATTTCTGACCTTCATGTCCTCCTCCTTACATTTATGTTTTCCTCCTGACTTGCATGTTTGTCTTAGGGGTCGTTTACACGGACATTTCATGGGTTGAATCTTCACTTCATCACAATCTACATTTTCACATCATGTTTAACTTTGTGTGTTCTGTGTAATGTTTGTTTGAAGACTGGATATCTGTAGCAGGTCAACAAAGACTAAGAGCAAACATTGAGCTGGTGTCGTCACACGAGTGAGCTGCAGTGATGGGAGTCAGCCAGTAGGTGGTGCCATCCTCCCTCTGTTGATCCTCGGATCCTTTTCCTTTCTCATCAGCCAGACTGTATGGAGCTTTATGGAGCTCAGTGTTTAGAGCAGTCGTCCCTCAGGAGGTTTGATTCCACCAGCAGTCACATGTCTACGTGTTTCTGGGCAAGACACTGAACCCCTCATTGTCTCTGATGCCTTCTTGGTGTCTGAATGTGAGAAAGCACCAGTGTCTCAGTTGCTCTTTGTGCTTAATTGCTTTTACCTTGATGTTATCTGATGTTCACTCATTGTAGCACTTTGAGATCTGTTGTGAATGTAAAGTGCGTTATAAATAAAAAGTTATTATTATTATTATTATAGTGATTTGTTCTAATTTAAAAAAAGTTTTGTAAGCTCAATCATCCAGGTAGATAACAACAAAAATGGTTAAATGTTGCCATCTGGACCTGCTTCTTTAAGTGAAGAAACGTTCCGTCCCTCATCCAGAGGACTTCGTCAGTCTGCAGCCTGCTAACCAGATCTGTCCCATAGATAGCCTTCGTTACTGTGTTTCAAGCCATCCTCCTGTTGGAATCTCAGAAGCAGGCTTTATAACACGTGCAAACAGAGCACGCCCTTCCAAAACCATCAATCATCATTAACAGAAATCAAGTGTTTCAGGCCAGATGGCCAACTTGCTACTCACAGATCATTGAGCTTACAACCTTTTTTTCTGGACCACTTTGGCCTTGGTTGTCCTCAGGCTGTTTCTGTGAGTAGCAAGTTGGCCACCTGGCCTGAAACATTTGACAGGTCCAGATATGATTTAACTATTTTTGTTGTTTGTTCTGATTAGTTTTGTAAAGATGTACATGAGTGCTGTATGAATGAGTGTGAGTGTGGAAATTAGGACAGATTTTGTTGTAAAGTGCTTTGAGTGCTGGTTGGCTAGAAATGTGCTAAAAAAGACAATTTACTGTTCATCAGTGGAAGAGAAAACTACAACAGGAAGTGAAGCAAATTTTTTTTTTTTTTTAAGTCCTGACATTTCCAAATAGGAAACAGACACAGCTCGGGTCAGAAGCAAAACAAGAAATAGGTTATATGGGGACTTTCAAAACAAAAGTTCTTAAACCTGAGAGACAGTGGCTATAAATTTTGGGTCAACACATTCTTCTAACTCTTCTTCTAAGAATTGCCAAACAGCACTGGGATTTCCTAACGATCCAGAAGGACACACAGCTGTGTTTATTTAGCTGAGGTCATTCAGGTCAAAAGTCACTTTAAACCAATCCAACACAGAGCGATGTCAGCGCTGGTTCTGATCGATAACTCAGAGTCTGAATTTGATCGCCAGCAGAATCACGAGAGAATCAATAAAGCTGACTAGTTACTGATATGAGCTCCGATTTTGACCCGTCTCTTTGGGTTCGGAACTCATTTTGAGTCCATGGTGGGTTCTGATTAGACTCATCAGGGCCTGGAAGACCCTGTCAGAGTGATGTCATCGCTCTGCTATCACCTGCATCCTGCTGGTGGGTGTGGCCTCTGCAGGGTCTGAAAGCAGTTTGTTCTAGTCGATAAAGTTTCTGTGAATTCTGGGTGGAGAACTGTATCTTGAGGCCTCTCGACTACATCAGGACAGTGACATTGGGTCTACAGTCTGACTAGCAGAACCAGCTAAGGGCATAGAACGGTGTTCTGATGGTGTCAGGACTAGCAGTAGCCAGACCCAACCCATCCCGAGGCATCAGGGAGGCAGAATGCCAGAATAGCAAGAAGTTATCTGGTTGTTGGCTGCTTTGAAACACAAACATCTCACAGTGGCACAGACGATCACTCTTCCTCCAGGTGATCCATGTCTGGATGCAGCCAGCTCGAAGAAGATCCTCTCCAGGATCAACCAACGGAGGGGGCTCAACACACACCCCTGAGGAGAGCCAGTGCTGAGGGTTATGGTGGAGGAGGAGAAGTTGTGGATCCTCACTAACTGTGGTCTGTTTGTTAAGAAGTCTAGTACCCAGTTGCAAATGGAGGAAACTTATGACAGCACAATCTCATGCCAAAGTGCAAGATCTTACAGATGTGTGTTGACGATGACTTAATTTACCACACCAATTCTTTGTTCAATATCTGTTAATTAGTTGTAGCCATTAAAAAAAATATATATTTTCAGTTGATTGGATTCAAGATTGCTTCTTTAAGTGACTGGATTAGATTGGCATTTCACTAAAAAGGTACATGGTGGCGCTTCTGCTCCGTGCGTTGATTTAAAACACTGGAGCAGCAGTAATGAATGTCCAGCAGGTGTAGCTGAGCAGCTGGACCAGAAAACATTCCTGATTGGGTTTTGAGGGGCTGCGTCAACGAGCTCAAAGTAGTGTCCTTGCAAACTTCAACATCCTGAACCAAGGTGGTGTCCCCACATATTTAAATACCAGTCCAAAAGAAGCCTCTCCCATTTAGCTATAATGCCTATTAGCTCATAGAACTGACCTCTATCCATCCATTATCTATTCATCTACTGCTGCTTCTTTTTCTGGTCGTGGGGGTTCACTGGTGTCTATATCCTAGTCACGGTTTCACCCTGGACAGGTCTCAGTCCACAGGGACACAGAGACAACCGAGACAAACTCACTCACACCTAGGGACAATTTAGTTACCAGTCTAACATGCATGTTTCTAGACTGTGGGAAGAAACTGGAGTACCCGGAGAAAACCTGCACATGCACAGAGAGGACATGCAAACTCCACCCAGAAAGGCCCCCAGCAAGAAAATGAAAATGGGGCGGTTTTTGATAACGCCTGGCATCGATGTGAGTTTGCACATTATGGACGCATGAAGTCAGTTTCCTGTGCTTTCACAAGTAGGTGGACAACAGTAACAGAGGACAGTGTGTATCTTAGATCCTTAGTTTTTACACTTTATATTTTGCCATTTTTGGGACCCGGTGTATAAAATTTTGTTTCACCTGTACCATGTGACAGAACTGACACTAAAGTTGACTTTATCTTAGTGATGAAAACTTTTCAGCCTGGTTTCAGCAGTAAATATTCACTGCATTTTCACATGAGACGACATACATCAAGTTTGTCTTGTTCAATTTTTAGTTTCAAGACTTTCTGCCTTTAGTTTATCAATTTTCCTTGGTTTACTAGTGTGGTTGTTTTCCAATCTTCCCATTTTGTTTGTACTTAGTCCAGATTTTAGACAGCTGCCAGGGATCAAACATTTGCAACAATTTCATGATTGATCTTGGATAATCCTCTCCTTGGTTTTAACGGACGTCTCGTCAAGAGTCATGCTTCCGGTCAATCAGCTTTGCTCTGAGGTGTGAACTCAATTTGACTAAAGACCAAATATTAGATTTTATCTGATGGAGTTTGGTTTTGAACTGCAAACTACAAAAGACTTAGTTTCCTCTACATGATCAAAAAAAAAAAAAAAAAAAAAAAAAAAAAAAAAAAAAAAAAGTATAAATTGTTATTCTTGATACTGTGCATTCTTACACAGGTTAAAAAAAGTTAGTGTTTTTTTTTTTTTTTTTTTTTTTAGGTTCCTTCATCTAAAGCCAGATCCAAGTGTACACGAGGATTCAGTTTCTGAATAGATTTACCCGTTCTCAGGTTTGTCAAGTGAAGAAAGAATGCTACATGGTCACAATGATGAGGTCACAGAATATTTCAATACATTTTATTAAAGAATTTAAATACAGAACACATTTTGAGCATCATTTTTTAAACATTTAAAAATCACAGCTGACCACAGTCATGCGACCAGGCAGTCTAAGAAACCTCTGCACCGCCTTCAGCCTGGAGAGAAGTTCCTGACTGAGGTCAGCTGTAACAGACAATTTACTTACATTGTTAAACTACTTTTAAATTTTATTTAGAAAAGCTCCATTAAAATAGATTTGTCTAAACTAACTCCACCCACATTATAAAGCCCCACCCCCTGGTCTGGTTTACAGAAGCTCTATGGGCTGAAGTTTTTTTCTTGCAGAGAACATTCCACTGGACCATGATGGGCAGAGCTTCTGGGCTGTGATTTCACAGGAAGGCAGAAGTGATAATGAGATTATGTGCGATCAGCGATAAAGTGACTCAGGAGAGGAAGCACTGTAGTCTTCACATCTGGAAACAGGTAGTAGCAGAGATCAGACAGCCGTTTAGACGAGTTGTGTTAAAGCTGCAGGTAACTCACCTGGACAGCAGCTCTGTGCAGCCACTTTTCTTTGTCTCCGCCCAGTTTCATACAGGAAAAGAGCTCGCAGACAGCAGGAAGAATCAAACGCTCCTGCACAGAAATTACACGTTAGCTCACAGGAAGAGCCTTGTCTGAACAGGTCTGAGGTGGTCTCAGCTCACCTGGACCTGACTCTTCTTCTTTAGGAGCCACTTGTCAGCCTCCTCAGCCGAATCCTGGACACGACTTTTTTTCTTCAGGAGCCACTTGTCAGCCTCCTCTTCCTCCTTAGCTGAACCTGAGCCAGGAGTTGTGTCAGGATGAACCCAGAGATCTGGATTTAGAGGACGGGTGAAGGGAGACAAGAACTGGGAGCGGCGGACATTTAAGGTCTCCTCTGGACTTTCACAGGTTGTGGGAGGGGAGGGTCTGCATGTGCTGGGGTGGAGCCAGGCCTCCAGGATGGCCTGAACCTGCAGACCAGTCATGTTAGTCAGAGTTCCTGATCTGAAGAGAGTTTATGATTTAACCTTACCTTTTGCTCTTGGTCTCTGTAGGAGGAAGTGGGTGGGGCATTCTTGTTTAGAGAGACTCCATTTTTGTCCCGCCCCTCCTGCTGCAGCAGCCAGCGGTTAAGAGCATCCTTCCCACAGTTCTCGTCACAGACACAGTCAGCGTAGGTGGAACAAGGCTCGTTTGCCCTGCAGGTCTGCTGCACTGGTGCTACCTGCTGAAGCCACGTCTCCAGAGTGACTGCGGGGGCAGAGGGGGTCTTTAGGCACTTCAGCTGGCCCAGGTTCTCAATCTCCATGGCCTTGGGGGCCTGACAGCAGGAGGTGCAGTCTGCAGCAGGGACGCTCTCCAACAGCCAGTCATTGGAGGACCAGGTCTCCTCGAAAGGCTTTAGAACCTGCTGCCAGCGCTCAGCATCCAACACAGCGTCCATGGCAACAGTGGGCGGGGTGAGTAGCCAGTCGCTCAGCTCTTCCTCATCCTCAGTAAGGAACTCGCACTCGTCGATTTTCTCAATGGAGAAGGTGGAGCTGCAGCTGCTACTAGTGCAGTCTCTGCTCACCTGGTTCTGGTCCTTCAGAAGCCAAGCCTCCAGGTCTTGGAGCTGACCCCAGGCCTGCAGGAAGTCTATAGAGGCCCGAACAGGACAGGAAGTCTGGAATAGAGTCAGAGGTCAGGTCCCACAGAATTACAGTCTAATGACTATAAATCGTCCTTCCTGGAGAACACAAGCTCCAAACCAGAGCCTTCATTGCATAACGGTTCCTGAAGTCTGGCTCAGGTCCACCTGTGAAGGCCCTGTACTGTGAACAAGCTCACCTTGCTCTCTTTACATCTCAGCAGCCAATCCTGAGGGTTTGTGCTGGATTGGTAGCCAATCAGACGGCTGCCGTTTGCTGGGCTGTTTCCTACCAACCACTGGCTCAAAGCCGCTTCCTCAGACCTCTGCAGACAGAACCAGAACATCAAGGCTCTGTAGAACCATTGAAACCGACCAGGCACAAGTTAGATTCTGAAAGCTCCAACTCACCAGTTTGTCTGAGAATGGACAAGTCTGCGCCTGTACGTTGTGAGTGGAGTTCTGACAGGACATGCCCTCCACCAGCTGTCAACAAAAGAAACTGGTCAGCTTCAGAACCTCAGTCACTGGTGTTGCGACTGGCAGGTGAGCCTTACCTGAGCTGTGATTCTGCCAAATGAGGTGATTGCCTGCCTCAAAGAGCGTGCGTCAGCCTGGAAACTCAGCTCAGGCGTTTCATCTGGGGTGAGACTCAAAGACGACAAGCTGCAGTACAGAGGAGGAGGAAAGGGGAAATGAGCAGGCAGGGTCAGTTCAGTTGGTGCATATCGTTCTACTGAAGTAAGTCAGTGTGCGTTTAAGTGTGACTTTACTTCTCCATGCAGGCGGTCAGCTGGTTGTTAAGGTTGTTGCCGTTTTTGTTACCCGAGTTCTGGAGCTGGTGGGCGATCATGTCAAACTGACCTCGAAGCTGAAACAACACTGGTAAATAAAACGTCTGTCCAGACAGTAAACCAAGTGGCACTCATTCACAAGCAAACCTACAAACTGGTTTTACACCCAACCCATGTTTAGAAACACAGATACTCTGCTCATTTTAAGATGAATGCAAACAGCAATTATTCAAATCTGTCTTGGGGTGGGGGGAGCTTAAATTTAAAGGCAGTGGATGTGGACAACGTTAAAAAAAAAAAAAAAAAAAAAAAAAAAAAAAAAACTTACAGCTCTGCATGTTGAGTTCAAGGAAACTGTCAATTACTTCAGGTTAATGTACAACCTGATCACTTTCTCCTGGAGCTGTGCCTCTAGTCATTTGTGCTGTGAACTGCCCTAGCATCATGTAGTTTACTCAAGTTAATCAATTCCACAATTACATAATTCCCAAGTGAAGGAGCATTGCACATAGTAGGCCTATTGCAAGAAGATTTTTTTTTTTTTTTTTAACATTTTCAACCTGCATCTTACCCTGTGTAGCTGGTGCAGCTGCTGCTGTAGCGTCTCAGTCTTCACCTGCTCCAGCAGCTCAATCTGACCCAGAAGCCACACCTCCCTGCAGCGCAGTGCTTCCTGCTGGCGGCTCACACAACTCTGCAGCTCAGAGCGTACCTGAAGGGTGGCAGAGACAGATTAACAGTCTAGATTATGTTTTTTTTTTTTTTTTTGGGGGGGGGGGGGGTGTTTTAGCAAAATTTAATTTTTTTTTTTTTTTTTAAAGGCACAAGGCGAGCTGTGTGTAACACCTGAGCTCCTATTGGCAGCACATCTACTCAGCCTTTACTACAGAAATGAAGAGTCCAGGCAGGACTCAACCCACCACTGATCCAGTTTATGACCAGCTAGCACAGACTATGCACATCTAGACCCGACAACCCAGAATTAGACAAACCTTTGGTCTGCTGGTTCCAGTCAAGTCTGTCACCCTCCATATACAACTGGACATTGCGCTTTTGAACATTAATATTTCAGATGTTCCCACACAGCTCTCAGTGTACCAAAAGTAAAATAAAAAACACCTGGACTCCTCAGGTTCTGGTCCTTTTGTAAAATAAAGTTGATCCAGTAAACCAGGTCCTGCATTTTATTTGTTGGACACAGAACATAACGAAGCTAAGCTTTTAACAGTCGTCATGTTTGTCTCGATCCTCCGAGTCCCATCTACACAGCCTCTAGCCCATCACAGGTCAACATCTCCAGTGTAAGAAACTTTACATAGCTACAAGATAACTAGAATAAATAAAGACTGCTCAATACTATAGAATTTTTATCGTTAGGTGATCCAACATCAGGTAATCAACTGAAACAAACTCAACAAATCTTAACCTTACAGGGCTGAGGCACTTGTAATCTAGTCAAATGCATGCATTATTCTGCAATTTACTTTACAGGCTCAAATCAAAGCTACTCTACAATAATCTGAACCTGCTGGAACATTTAGAACAAACTTAAACCAGATTATTCTCCTGCCACAGAAAACTTTAAAGGATGCAATCAACTCACCTAGAGACCACCAGAACTACAGGTCCAGGAAAGCCCAGTGTCCTACAGCTTGTTCTCACTCAGTTTTATATAGTCTGTGCCACACCCAATTGTCTACACTTACTCATCCACGCCGCTTCCCTGGGGGGGAGGGAGGGGAGAAGAGAACCACACACACCTGGTGTTGGCAATTCTGGTCTTTTGGACCACAAACACCCTGAGTCACAGCTGATGTTGCATCTCCCTTCACCTGATTTTTGATAAACAGCTGCACAAACTGATCAAAGATCCTGTAGCTCAACAGAACTCTGGAGAACTTTTAACCTTAAGTTGCCTTCTGTCAGTCAGACCCATTTGGCAGCTCCACCACTCGGTTGAAAAAGTTTCATCCCGAACATGGACAGCTGCTGCCATCCTGTCATTTCTACAAGTGTCAAAATGAGTTTCACTTTTTGGACAAAATTCAAATACATTTAAAAAAAAAAAAAAAGGACCAACCTCTCTAGTGTTTTCTCTCAGCTGCTGCTCAGCCTTCAGCACACCACTGATTGCATTCTCCAGCTGTTCCTGGGCCTGCTGGACCTGCTTCATACCGCTTGCTGCTGCCACCTCCGATGCCATTCTGGACAGGAAACAAGAGTGAGGAGTTACAAGAAATGTACGAACAGTTTAACTTTACAGGAATCAATCATTTTCTTCTGCAACAACAAAAGTGAAAATGAGTATACAGTGCATGCCCATGTGCACAGACGTGAATCTGAGGCATTTTGACAAATTCACATCTGGTGCATTAAGCTTTTGTTTCTCAAACTGGAAGCCACCTGCAACTTCTACTTCCCATTTCCAACTGGTTGTTTGTGACATTCTGTGTCGTCAGAACTGGACCAGCTGCCAACAATGGCACTAAAACCCAGCTTCTGACTAAGCTGTTTGTGCACATTGCTGCATTGTGCAGCGTGACTGATCGAGACAATTGCTCACCACCGTGTGGGATTAAACCACAGGTAAGCAGGTTTTAACACTTCAGGTTTGCATCACCTTTATTTAAACCCAGTCTCTGTAAGTTCTAAATAGGACTTGAGGGAGGGCATTTCTGGACTCCTTGCTTTGTTCAAAACCTACTTCAAGAACTCAGTCAACCTTTCTGAACGGCCTCAGGGTGCGGCCGCATGTCCATATCAGCTGTAAACAGTCTGTCAGCTGATAGCATTAAACAGCATAACCTTTGACTAGAGACATTACAATCAATTTTCATATGCTTAGTGGGAAAAACTTAAATTTAGCTTTAATCAGTGAAAATATCCGACTTTAACATGTTCACTCTGAAGGATGGTCAGGCATGTAATCTTGATGCTGCAGACAATAAGCCAGATCTAGACCGTCAAAGACCATAACTAAGTTATTGCAGCTTAACTTCACTTAAATCCTACAAGTCTAAGCATTTGAAAAATAGGTGCTGGAACACCCGTGACCCGATAACAGAGCTCACAGCAAATATTTATCGTCAGACCACCATGTTCCATCGTGAAATGAGAACTTTAAACAGTCTTCTGCCTAAACATTTAATAAGAAATATTGATACACCTGAACCCTGTGCAGAACAAGCTTTAGTATTAAAAAAAAAAAAAAAAAAAAAAAGGAATTTACACAAATGTGACTGAGATTTCATAAAAGTCTTAGCGTTACAGTGAAAGGTGCAACACAAAATTACCCAGTTCCGATTAGAAAGTAGTCATCCTTCATAGTTTACTTGTAGGAAGCAGTTTTATTGTAAACGCTTGACAGATATTCTCGCGATATCTTGCTTCATCACACAAAGCGATGTTGTCGCGATACTCTGATCCGTGGCTCCGCCATGACAGACTACAGGGCTGCACGTACGCGTTGAAAACTGACGCATGCGCAGACGAAGCACTAGAGAACAGAGGGTCACATTTAATCATCGGCTCGCCGCAAACATGGCTCGTAAAATCATAACATTTACAATCAGTCACATGTCAACAACAAAAAAACAAACGTGACAGACTGATTTGTCAGAACTGTACCTCTGCAGCAGAACCAGGAGTTCCTCCAGCCGGTGTTCTGTCCGTTAGACATACCTGTCAGAGTAGCCTATGCAGTAGGTTTGAGCTACGCATACGGTGATCTGACAATGTATGCTGAACTGACAGAACACCGGCGGACATGTCACCTTGCTGCCTTTAGAGTCAAACAATGTCTATTTTTTCCGTTTTTTTTTTTTTTTAAGTTAAACATTTCATAGACTGACAATACTTTGCACATGCGTTTTGCGTTACATGGACCGAGGAGGTTAAAGATTTAAACACGTTTTTAGCGGCCTTGGAATTTTAACACAGTTCGGAGGACGACAAAAAAAAATAAAAATTTGAGAAAGCCCGGGTAAATATAAAATAAAACTTTAGAATCGATCCAAACGCCTTTGACATTAGTATCGAGCACAAAAAACTACGAAGTAGTAATGAAAAAGTGGAGACGAATAAACTATGTCAGGCTACAACGAGGAGTACACAATGAACTTAAGCACCATGATGATAAGCTAACATGCTAACGCAACCAAAACACAGTTTGGCTCAACTTACTGGGTAGTTTAACTGCTGTTCTGCCAATTCCTGGAAGTTTTGCAGAACTGGAGCCGATTCGGCACAACAGTGGAGACCAACAGCTGTCCGATGGTTACCTCCGATAACACAGGCCCTTAACCAGCCGTCACCGCTCTGAAAGACCAAACGCCCCAAAATTTATACTGGCGAAGTCTCGCGATAACTGAGTGGAAGTCTCGTTAAAATGAAAACGATGCCGCTCTCTGCTGGCAAGTTTATGTAACAGAGCAACCATATTATCTATTTTCATCAAGTTTCTAACAACAAAGTAATACATACTTTTATTTATCACAAATAATTTCATGTATACACACATATATGACAGCAAATACTTTAATTTAGGTGTAGGATTGAACTCTACCATCAGATATTTTATTTTATATGCTATATGATTGTCTATTGTTGTCTGTACCTCATCTGTGCTCTGTTTAAAACAGGTATCTCTGGTAAACGAGTCCTCGAGGCTCATTAAGACTAACCTGTATAAATAAAGGTTGAATGAATGACTCACTGAGAAGCTTTTCTACAACAAAACAATAACTATACATTATTTATCATGAAATTATTTTATTTATGCACTTAGAGTGGGCAGCACGGTGGCGCAACTGGTAGAGCTGCTGCCTCTCAGCGAGCAGGTCCTTGGTTCAAACCCCGGTCCAGGGACCTTTCTGGATGGAGTTTGCATGTTCTCTCCGTGCATGCGTGGGTTTTCTCCGGGTACTCCGGTTTCCTTCCACAGACCAAAAACATGCATGTTAGGCTGATTGGTAACTCTAAATTGTCCCTAGGTGTGAGTGAGAGAGTGAATGGTTGTTTGTCTCGTTTGTCTCTATGTGGCCCTGTGATTGACTTGCGACCCATCCAGGGTGTACCCCGCCCCTCGCACAGTGATTGCTGGACATGGGCACCGGCGACCCCCGTGACCCAAAATGGAATAAACGGGTAAAGATAATGGATGGATGGATGGATGCACTTAGAGTAATTAAAATACTACATGTGAATCGCATCACATCTGGATCTCACATATTTAATCCTGGAGTTGCAGCTAGTAATGGATCCAGCCTGAGTGTACCCATACTGCCTATTATATTCCAGCAGGATCTCCGATGACTGGCACTGCTTACGGATTGATGGGATTTGTTTTCATCATTCAACTGGCTTTTTGGGACCTGCCATGTTCTCTGTAGGTACTCGGTTGTGGCTGACTTTCTTGCAGCCTTATCATGATTGCCATTTATCTGTGGGGTTCCAAGGTGTTTGTAGCTGCCCTGGACATCTGCAATGTTGCCTTCAGGAAGTTCAACCCCTTCAGTTGTGATCACCTTGCTTCTCCTGGATACCATTTGACTGCATTTATCCAGCCCAAATGATGTTCAAATATCCTTGCTGAATTTCCTGATGAGGGGGATGAGTGAAATTATGCCTTGTTTATTTTTGGCAAGCAGCTCCCATTTAAAGGAGGTGACTGAAGACTCTTCCACGTTGAACTGGCCTCCATAGTGTGTTCTCATTCAGTCCATTCTTTCTGGGTAAAACGACTCTGATATCACACTGGCTTATGTGTCTGCGGTTATCGCTGTCTAATTTGGTCTTGAGTTTCAGTTTCATCAGGGCTTTTCCATTTGGCTATCCATCCATACACAGATGGTGGGAATGATGTTACATCCCCTGATCTGACACCTGGCTCCACCTTGCCATATCATATTTTCAGCTGCTTATATTGGAGAGTGTATACTTTCATTAATACTCAATAAAAGTTTTGTTTTAAAATGTTACTTGAGAAAAGAGGTCGCTCAGTTGGTAGAGTTGTTGCCCCTAAAGCTCACTTGATAATATGAAGACATAATAATTTCACTTTTGTCACTTATGTCTGGTTATGTGAGAACGTCAAATTATTTCCCCTGAAGTTTCCGTTATTAAAACAAAACTGTCAGTTTCCACAGACCATTTAACCTTTGTTAAATGTTTCACTAGAATCATAAAAATGTGATCTTCTTAGATGTAAAGATCTAGCACAAAGGACAGAAACCTGTTTTGAAACACTTTTAGAGAATTAACTTAGATCCCATGAACACAACAGACTGTTCAAACAGTTCTCTCTTGCATTTAATATTTTATTTGAATTATTTTACCAGGTGAAATGTTTCAGTTCTCATTTATAAACGGGACCCGGCATGTTCCAGGATTTCTTCATTCAAGCCTCAGCGCTGCTTGTGGAACCGTTTCTCACGTGTCTCACCAGATCTGCAAAACAAGTTAGAAATCATTCATGTGGGTGAAAATTATTCTGCCTGTCTGTTTATGCATCCCTTACATTCTGAAATTGTCGGGAAACTTTTGGTCAAAGGTTATGGATGTTTTTATTGAGAACATTCTTCCTCTCTGCCCTGAGAAGCAGCCCTCAACAAGCCGTCTTCCAAAACACTGTCTTATCTCTGCCCATGAACCATATGTTTGGGTAGATGGAGGGTGCTGTTAAGAAGACTGCAGCTGCTCCAAGGACACTTCCTGAACTATGCTGAACTCTGAGACAAAAGGAGTGTAAAAGCGAGCAGATAACACAGATCGTGGCTTTTTACTGTGACTGGTTTTCATGTGCATACATCGATGTACGTTCATAAATGTTGTGTATGTAACCTGTCCTGGAAGTATAAAATGCTGGTTAAAAATCTTCTCCTGCCGTTGAGTGTGGTTCTTTTGAGTACAATGTTGCTGAGAGATTTTCTCCAACACAAATTATATAAAAGTAGTGACTGATTTGGGTCGAACTCTCTAAAAGTAATACAGTATTTGTAAGTAAATCTATAATTCACTTTGGGAGTCAACCAATTCACGATGGCCACCACAGCTTATTTAACTTGGCCGACCCAAAAAATCACAAGTACCGAGTCAGTCTGTCAGATACTGAACTTCAGCTGATGTGGCATTAGTTGAGTCATCCTCAGAACATATTTCAAGAGCTAACAGATCACAAGTGATCTTCCAACATAGATTATTCATAAGGTCATCTGTGATTCAAATGGCTGAAACTACATCCACTTTGACCAGATGTTCTGATGATTTAAGTAACGTTAGATGTTTAATCTCCTTAATATGTTCAATGAGCTTTCACAATTGTTTAGATAAGTAACTCCAACCATAAAGCTTTTCTCAGTATGAAATGATTGAGTTTAATATGATGTTCACCAGAGTGTTGAATCAGTTAACATCATGTGGACGACATGAAGCTGCTTCGTGCAAGTTTTTTTTTTCCATTTTATAAAGAGCACTGAAGATGCTTTCTCTATAATAATGTCAGGATCAGTGTTTTATCATGATTTGATGGATCTTTACGTTTCAGATAGGATTAATTTCCCTTTTGATCATTATATTTTTTGGTATTTGCTTATCCTGTCTTGTTTATTTCTTATCTGGTTCTCCTGTGTGTTGTGATTCACCACGTGTCTGCCCAGCTGTCAGTAATTATTTCATTAGTCTGGTTCTGGTGTCAGTCGATCATTAAGCATTGCTCTGATGCTGGCTGGGATGTTTGCCAGAAACCACACAGTTGTTGCACAAATCAAACAATTCAAGTAAAATTTAAAATGTGACATCACCATAATGCTGCAATTGTTAAATTTAGTAAAATAACTTTCTAACCTCACACTATTATGTCTTTCTTTAATAAGAGCTCACTTACTTTCATTGTTATGGCTCAACTAAAAATCTACATGGTGGATGTAAAAATTTTAATGTATTTCCAAACAATTTAGTTTTGAAAATATATTTTTGGAAATGGCCATTTAAAACAAAGAGAAATGTTTGGTAAAAGCCACCCAAAATAAATTTTCAAAATAAAAGAGATCTTTCAGGTAAACTACATACATTGCTTAAACATAAGTAACATTAGTAAATAGTTCCATTAAATATAAACATATTAAACCTGACATAAACTTTATTAAGTCCACAAGTTCAAAATCGTGTTAAAGATTAATCAGCCAATCACATGAAGGCAACTTTAAGCATTTCTGCAAGTTCAAACTGAGTCATAATGGCAACAGAGGGAAAATAAAATGATCATGAACACTGGATAGTTGTTGCTACCAGACAGCCTGGCCCAACAATTTTCAAATCTGCAGATTTTACACCACAATAATCACCAAAGGTTTAAGCTGATTGAGTACTCAGGTGTGGTGTAAAAGTTAACTGTATACTCAGGTGGTGTTTTAAAGCTGAATGAATGGTCAGATTTGTCTTGGAAGTAAAGAAAATAGAGGAGGGCTAACAATTTCTGCCTTGTCATAGTTTTCTTGTTGCAATTCAGCACATCAGTAAAATCTAAACTCTGTGGAGCTTTTGTCCTTTTACTTTTGGAAGCAGTACAAATTACAGGTCCTTCTCAAAAAAATAGCATATTGTGATAAAGGTCATTATTTTCCATAATGTAATGATAAAAATGAAACTTTCATATATTTCAGATTCATTGCACACCAGCTGAAATATTTCAGGTCTTTAATTGTTTTAATACTGATGATTATGGCATACAGCTCATGAAAACCCAAAATGCCTGTCTCAAAAAATTAGCATATCATGAAAAGGTTCTCTAAACAAGCTATTAACCTAACCATCTGAATCAACGACGTAACTCTAAACACCTGCAAAAGATTCCTGAGGCTTTTAAAAACTCCCAGCCTTGTTCATTACTCAAAACCGCAATCATGGGTAAGACTGCCAACCTGACTGCTGTCCAGAAGGCCATCATTGACACCCTCAAGCAAGAGGGTAAGACACAGAAAGAAATTGCTGAACGAATAGGCTGTTCCCAGAGTGCTGTATCAAGGCACCTCAGTGGGAAGTCTGTGGGAATGGAAAAGTGTGGCAGAAAACGCTGCACAAGGAGAAGAGCTGACCGGACCGTGAGGAGGATTGTGGAGAAGGCCCGATTCCAGACCTTGGGGGACCTGCGGAAGCAGTGGACTGAGTCTGGAGTAGAAACATCCAGAGCCACCGTGCACAGGCGTGTGCAGGAAATGGGCTACAGGTGCCGCATTCCCCAGGTCAAGCCACTTTTGAACCAGAAACAGCGGCAGAAGCGCCTGACCTGGGCTACAGAGAAGCAGCACTGGACTGTTGCTCAGTGGTCCAAAGTACTTTTTTTGAATGAAAGCAAATTTTGCAT